GCAGTGTCGCGACAGTGTTCCAGGATATCCTTCGGACACACAAGCAACCAGCTCACCGAGTGCATGTGCAAAGGCAGAAAGCACATAACCCGGTGCACCGGCCGACTGAGCCACTTGGCCACTTTGCTTTTTGCCGTGAATCATTTTGGACTCAACCTCTCACTCGCCTGCTGGCTGTTGTCCTTCTCCTCCGGCTGGGGTGAAAGGACCTAACACGCAGAGTGCGGCAAGAGATCTTCTGCCTCGGAATTCCGTTTCTTTGCCTACGACCTGATGGCCCAGTGGCCAAGCAATGACTTGGCTGGTCATAAGCGTCCTTGACCTGGTACTTGCATGTTTATGTTCCTTTCAAGCAGCCGTCTGAATTTCGCTCCAGCACCCATACAAACCAACCTCCGAGCATCTGACATGTATGCTGGAGATCTCGGCATCTGGCCTCGGGCCGGGCTTCTGCATCGATTGCCCCAAAGACTTGGCAAAGTTCTGGAGACATGTCACTCTCATACAGGACCCGCAAGCGCCAAGGCTTGGCGCCTAAGACCTGCTGCGCCTTGCAGGCAGAACTTGAGAGAAGCGCAGACTTACGTGCAGAGATATCCTGACGAGCAATTCACCTGAAGCACCTTGGCATCCGGCTGTGGGTTCCAGTCGACCTCGCTGGCACCTGGGTCGGGTGCGCTTGGACATCCACATGGGAATCAGAGAATGCTAGCACAAGCAGTGTGTCTGTGTGTTTGTGGAGAAAACTGTTGCATTCCTCCACGTGTACAAGGCATCTTGCTTCAACCAGTGTCTTACCGCTTGCAAACTGCGTGCCTATTTGTCCACGTGTCTTTCTGTCTGCCTCTCTGTCTCCTGATCTCTCTTTCTCTCGGCTTGTCTCATTGTTTCAGTGTCTGCCTCTCGCCTCTGCGTCTTGGCGTCGAGTGCAGCTCGAGCAGTATTGCTCAACGTTGTGAAGCAACTGCAACTTGTTCGCTGCATTTAAGGCCCCTTGATACACTGGGGAGGCAGTGCTGCGAGTCACCAATCCCAAGAACATGCACACATCAACAGAAGCTTGCGATACATTGGCCGTTGGGTGGTCCAAGAAAGCAACGCCTGGGAATGGAGTGCCCTTAGTAACGCTGTAGCAGTGGAAAAGCGAACTTGGCGGTTTCATAGCTATGCAATCTGTGCAGATTTGGGCTCCCAAATGCTGTGTTCAAAGCTGGACTAGTGTCATCTCTCAGCCCCTCCGCATGTGTTTTGAGGGTACCCCTCTCTTGTGGATTTGGAGGGAAACCAAAAGGAACACCACCATTTCGAGGGTCCCCACAAAGTGTCCACGAACCGCGGTACCCCAGCGCCCTCGAACCGAACAAACCCCTCGCCTGGCAGCCGGATGGCCTTGCCAACCAGCTGCCCCTGGCAGCAGGAGAAAGATCCGGGTCCATGAAAGTGACATCCTCAAACGGTTGTCTTTAAATTTGGTGATGTAGAAGGAAATCCGAAATGTATTTTTGAGAGCTCGAAGTGTTCACTTGACACCCAGATGGCAGAAGCCACCTGGCACAACACCGCAGCTGAACCTGCCATTGTGCTGGGAAGTAAAGATGCATGTGCGAGGCTACGTAAGTTGAAGCGCAAGGGAAGTTGCGTAGGAACTGCGCATTAACTCTGGTCAAGCCGCGGTGCATGAATGTCTCGCAGTGAACTGCTGGTAAGTAGCTGCACGCGGTTATTCCAAGACCTTTCTTCTGGGGGCTGCAGTTGTGTAAAAACATTGGGGTGTTCGATTCCCCCCGGTCCGTTGTTGCATCCTTAGCATCTCCTGGGCGACATCGCCAGCAACACCTGCATCATTTGCATCAGCGCCTGCCAAGGATGCGAATGATGCAAGTAATGCTGGGGATGTTGCCCATGCCGGTGAAGGAAAATCTGGGAAATGATGGAAAATGCATGGAAATGAACGACATGAAGTGAAATGAAAGAAAAGGAACAAAAACAAACATACAGGGACATGAACCGGAAGTGAAGGAAAGTGAAGGGAAATGAAGATCTTCGGGGGAAAGGGTGGAAAAAGATTTTAGGGGGGAAGGCCGGAGGGGGGGGAGAGGAAAGGGAAAGATCTTAAGGGGGGAGAGTGTCGGAAAGATCTGAAGGGGACAAAGGACTTAGGGGGAAAGGGGGGAAAGGATCTCAACAGGGAAAGGTGGCAAAAAAAGGGAGAAGATCTGAAAAGGCCTTAGGGGGGAAAGGGGGGGAAAGGATCTCAACAGGGAATGGGAGAAAGAATCTTGGGGAGGAAAAGGGAGAAGATCTCGGGGGAACGGCCTTAGGGGGGAAAGGGGGGAAAGGATCTCAACCGGGAAGGGGGGGAAAAGATCTTGGGCAGGAAAAGCGAGAAGATCTCAGGGGAGGAAAGGCCTTAGGGGGGAAAGGAAAGGGGGAGAAAGGATCTCAACCGGGAAGGGGGGGGAAAGATCTTGGGGAGGAAAAGCGAGAAGATCTCAGGGGGGGAAAGGCCTTAGGGGGGAAAGGGGGGAAAGGATCACAACAGGAAAAGGGGGGAAAGAGCTTAGGGATAGGGAGGAAAAGGGAGAAGAGCTTGGGGGGAAAAGACCTCAGGGGGGAAAGGGGGGAAAGGATCTCAACAGGGAAAGGGGGGAAAAGATCTTAGGGAGGAAAAGCAAAAGCCTTGGGGGGGAAAGGGGGGAAAAGGATCTCAACAGGGAAAGGGGGGAAAAGATCTTAGGGAGGAAAAGGGAGAAGATCTCAGGGGGGGGAAAAGGCCTCAGGGGGGAAAGCGGGGAAAGGATCTCAACAGGGAAAGGGGGGAAAAGATCTTAGGGAGGAAAAGCAAAAGCCTTGGGGGGGAAAGGGGGGGAAAGGATCTCAACAGGGAAAGGGGGGAAAAGATCTTAGGGAGGAAAAGGGAGAAGATCTCAGGGGGGGGAAAAGGCTCAACAGGGCAAGGGGAAAGGATCTTAGGGAGGAAAAGGGAGAAGATCTCAGGGGGGGAAAGACCTTAGGGGGGAAAGGGGAAAGGATCTCGACAGGAAAAGGTGGGGGAGGAAAAGGGAAAAGATCTCAAGGGGGGAAAGGCCTTAGGGGGGAAAGGGGGGAAAGGATCTCAACAGGGAAAGGGGGGAAAAGATCTTCGGGAGGAAATGGGAGAAGATCTCAGCTGGTGGAAAGGCCTTAGGGGGGAAAGGGAAAGGGGGGAAAAGATCTTCGGGAGGAAAGGAAAATCTTTCTTGGGGGCAAAAGGCCTTAGGGGGAAAGGGGGGAAAGGACCTCAGGGGCAAAAGGCCTGAGGGGGAAAGGGGGGAAAGGATCTCAAACAGGAAAGGGGGGAAAGATCTTAGGGAGGAAAAGGGAGAGGAAAAGGGAGAAGATCTGAAAAGGCCTTGAAAGGATCTCAACAGGGAAAGGGGGGGACAGATCTTAGGGAGGAAAGGGGAGACGATCTTGGGGGGAAAAGGCCTCAGGGGGAAAAGGGGGGAAAGGATCTCAACAGGGAAAGGGGGGAAAAGATCTTAGGGAGGAAAAGGGAGAAGATCTCGGGAGGGGGGGGGGGAAGGCCTTAGAAAGGAAAGGGGGAAAGGATCTCAACAGGGAAAGGGGGGCAAAGATCTTTGAGGGGAAGGGGGGCAAGGGCACCATTCCAAAGGGACGCAAATAAGAAAGCAGGCCTGTAATGTCGGCGGCCTGAGCCGGAGGCGTTAAAATAGTCAGAACATAAAGGGGCAAGCACTGCTCATCACAATGAACAATCACGGAAATCCCGAGTAGTCTCCAACAACTCCACTATCAAGAATCGCTGCAATTTAAAACTTGAAACAGGCAGCTCAAACAAGCAAGCAAGCAAGCAAGCAAGCAAGCAAGCAAGCAAGCAAGCAAGCAAGCAAGCAAGCAAGCAAGCAAGCAAGCAAGCAAGCAAGCAAGCAAGCAAGCAAGCAAGCAAGCAAGCAAGCAAGCAAGCAAGCAAGCAAGCAAGCAAGCAAGCAAGCAAGCAAGCAAGCACTCCCTTACTTACTCGCTCGCTCACTCACTCAGTCACTCACCCAGCCACTGGCTTGCTAGCTGAGGAATTAACTAACTAATCAACTAACTAGTTGACTTAAGTAACTAACTAACACTCTACCAACTATCTAAGTAAGTAAGCAAATAAGTAAGGAAGCAAGTAAGCAAGTAACCCGCTAACTAGCTAGCTAACTAACTAGCGAACTATCTAGCTAGCTAGCTAGCTAGCTAGCTCGCTAACTAACTAACTAACTAACTCACTATCTCACTAGCTCACGAACTCACTAGCTAACTAGCTTACTATTTATCTATCTATCTATCTAACTAACCAACCAACTAATTAGCTAACTGACCAACTAATTAACAAGCGGATGAACGAACGACCCAGCGACCGACCGACCGACCGACCGACCGACCGACCGACCGACCGACCGACCGACCGACCGACCGACCCACCAACCAACCAACCAACCAACCAACCAACTGACCAACTGAATAAGGAAAAAAAGACGAACCAACGAACCAACCAACCAACCAACCAACCAACCAAGCAACCAACCAAGCAAGCAAGCAAGCAACCAAGCAAGCGACTACCCACCAACTAACCACAAACTAACAGACTAACAAACTAACAGGCATGCAAATCCACGTCGCGGATGCTGCGGCCAAATGAACCATAAAGCTGGTGCCAAGCTAAAGCAGCATGATCCTTTGTTGAACCTGCAAAAGTGTGACTTTGCTTTCTGAGAGCATCAGTATGTTGACACCCTAATCCCACCTCAGACGGCACGTAGCTGCTTGCCTGCATGCTGCACATGAGCTGGCAGGCCAAAGTGGTCTCTTACATTGGGCAATGCAGAGCTCGACGCGAAGGTCAAGTACAACTGCGCTTTGCATCCCAGTACCTGGCCTTTGGAATGCAACGGTCCCACATCAGCGGAACACCTTGTGCCTTGCATCAACCACAACCTACTCTCCTCCCTCTTTTGTTGCCCCCTTCCGCGCCTCTCCGTGGCTAGGCATAGTCTGCGGCACGACCTGGCCAACCCCGAATTTTACCCCGCGCAGCGGCAACAGCAGGACTGTTGCTTTCAAGAAACGAGCTTCGAATAGCATTCTACAGGCACTTAAAAGGCGGCGCAGCCCATCGATCGAAAGTTTGACCATCAGACCAGGTCCCAACCGCAGCCCAGGTTGTCCCACCCATTGTCACTGAATGCCACGCAAAATCACACTGAGTGGCCCAAGACAAATACTCAAGGATTGCACCCGGCCTCGGGGCCCAAGCCAGGGATCGCCTCGCAGCAATCCCACACTCAAAACCGGGAGTTCGCGAGACATGAGGTTACCAACGTGCCCCAAGAAGCCTTCGAGCCATCCCATGCCTGTGCGCTGTCTTTGCTTCCGCCAGAACCCCTGCAAACATCATTCTGAACAGCCAGGGATCACCCCAGGCCTCACCGGGCATGGTGATCACCGGCATGGCTGGCTGCATGGCCTGCGATGATCCGCAACCCAGCTCATTGCACCACTCAGCGACAAACACAGGTGGGCTTCTGGCAAAATACATGGCCCCGGCAAATGGAATAAAATTCATCTAGACCAGTGCCATCGATTTCTAGCCAAACTAACCCAAGAAGCGCACCTATGGCCCGAAAAATGTCGCGGCCACGGGGAATCCGCGGCTTCGTCCGACGTCGGCTCTAAGTCGCCTGGACTGGCGGCGCAGAGCCCAGCCAAGGCGACGCGGGCTGCGGGACGATGGTCCTGGTCGACCGTCGGCCGTGCTTCTCGTCTCTCGGAGACACCTACTGAGAAAGGCCGTCACCCCAGTCCTGGTGCTTGCGGACATGCTTTGTGGCTGCCCATGATCCTGATGGTGCAGAACGGCCAAGAGATCAGGGTCAGTCAGCAAAGTGGCTGCAAAAGAGGAGGGCAAGGAGCACTGTGTCTCTATTCATGGTAAATTTAGGTTTTGCACACCTGTCTGGGCACGACGGAAATCATATTCATGCTTTCTGGCATGGGCAGTTTACTGCCCATCGGCTTGCTGGATTGGGAGCACAAGCTCGCGCCTCCCACAGCTGCCAGCCCTGGCAAGGACAGTCAGTGGTTGCAAAACTCCTTCGGGTCTGCTGGCTTCTGACTTGCTGAATACCAGGTTCAAGAGCGCACAAGCATCCTGATCAACCAAAGCGCAACAGGGGTGGTAAATGCACAGAAAGAAGCCAGGCATAAAAAAATGACATGACTGGCAGCGTCACAGAGGGGTACAGTTCGTCAGACCATCACTCCACACCATTTCCGGCTCCGCCTGCGGCAGCTCAGGCGCAGGCCTCGAAGGAAGCACCACAAAAGAGCGGCAAACGCGGCGCGCACGGTCCCAGAAAACCGCTCGGAGCGTGGCGAAGTCTCTAGGGTCCTGATTGGGGATCCTATGGGAATCTTTGTGGTTCACAAACCGGACATCTTCAGGAACACACGGTTCAGACATGCTCAGGATATAGGTGGCCCGAGAGAACGTGCAGCTGAAGGACTACCAAACTACCAGGACCGGGGCTCCCTGCTGAAAGGGCACTGCGCCATAAGGCATCTGCAGACCTGCAAAGTGCATCTGCTTCTCTCAACTAATTACGCTGGAAAATCATCAATAGATACAGAGACTATGACAGAGTCACATTGCTTGCCGGCAGGAAAGCATTGGGTAGCACATCACTTGCAGGCTTCCCTGCAATCAGCCTGTCATGGCCCAGGATGCTGCGTGTGACTCCCCTCCCACCCCACTGGAAAGCCCATGCCTGGCTGGCCAGGGTACATGACCTGTGGAGCATCCGTGAGGCAGGCATCCCAACCCGTGCCCGGAACGGAGAAGCCCTCACTCCAGGGCAGTCTTGCATGATGTGCCATGCAGAATTTCGCTTTTCAAGTTTGGTTCTCAGAACATAAGCCAAATCTGGGGCCCAGATTTAACACCAGCAGTCCGAGCGCCTCAAGAAGCCAGCCTTTTGCCGGCCCCAAAACCGCAAGACATGTCTAGTCCGGACATCCAAACGCCACGCCAGCGAGCCTGCGGCGAGCCGGGCACGGGAGGCGAGCTCGAGGGCGAGGCCCCGTGAGGGCTCGGCGCCTCGAAATGAGCTTGGCCACAGAACGGGAAGCATTGAAGATGCTTGGGGGGTCTTTTCTTTGGGGGCTACTACCCTTTGGTGGTTTCTGAAGGGGAACAAAAGACAAAACACCAATTTTGAGGGTCCACTAGTTTGAGACGAACCAACTTTGCAATTGCAAAGGAGAAGCGTTGGTGTTGGGACCAACCTCCGAACCCGCGCCTGAAAGGACTGGCCGAAGGCAAAGGCCGGGGGCGCCATCGACTCTCTCATCGACTGGTTTCCCTGGGAGCTGGCAAGTGATTAGGCGGCTTCCAAACCATCAACTTGTGCGGATCATCTCCCAGCTTCGAGCTTGATGGGTTTGGAGGTCTGGAATGTATGCGTACAAATACGCGTCATGCACGAACAGTTGTATGTGAGGCAGCTTGCGCACAGCTCCAAACTCCAGGAGCTTCTTTCGCGCCCGCGAATCCCTTCAACCCGGAGAACAGGTTGCCCAGCGAGCCTGCGCGCCTGGCACCTGCCAGGCGCTCGATCGCTACGACCATGAGATGCAGGGCTCATGGGGAAGCATAGATCGATCAAAAGAGATTCCCGTGTGTGTTGGAAAAAATGAGACAACTGTTCATGGAATGATGTTCATGGAACTGTTTGATCAACAACATACCTCTGCCTGCAACTCCAACATGCACACGCTCAACGGTGAGAATAAGACAAATGTTCATGGATTTGCTTGGCCAGCAACATACCTCTGCCTCCAACTTCAGCATCCACAGCAGTGCTTAATTTTCGTGGAATTGTTTGGCCAGAAGCGTGCCTGCAACTCCAGCATGCACGGCAAAGCTCAATTTTCGTGGAATTCTTTGGCCAGCAACATACCTCTGCCTCCAACTTCAGCATCCACAGCAGCACTCAATTTTCGTGGAATTGCTTGGCCAGCAACATACCTCTGCCTCCAACTTCAGCATCCACAGCAACATACGTCAGCAACAAACCTCTGCCTCTAGCATCAGCATGCACAGCAGAGCTCAATTTTCGTGGAATTGCTTGGCCAGAAACGTGCCTGCAACTCCAGCATGCACAGCAGAGCTCAATGTTCGTGGCACTGTTGGACCAGAAACATACGTCAGCAACAAACCTCTGCCCCCAACGTCAGCATGCACAGCAGAGCTCATTTTTCGTTCAATTGGTTGGCCAGCAAACATACCTCAGCGACATACCTCTGCCTCTAACTTCAGCATGCACAGCAGAGCTCAATTTTTGCGGAATTGTTTGGCCAGCAACATGCCTCAGCAACATACCAGCATGCACAGCAGAGCTCAATATTGTTGGTGAGAATAAGACAGATGCTCATGGCACTGTTTGGCCAGAAACATACCTCAGCAACAGACCCCTGCCTCTAACTTCAGCATGCACAGCAGAGCTCAATTTTCATGGAAATGGTTTGGCCAGCAACAAACCTCAGCAATATACCTCTGCCTCGACTTCCAGCATGCACAGCAGAGCTCAACAGCGAGAACAGGACAAATGTTCATGGAATTGATAGCCAGGAACATACCTCAGCAACTCAGCAACATACCTTTGCCTGTAACTTCAGCATGCACAGCAAAGCTCAATCATGTTGGCGATTAAAAAAAATGGACAAGCATTCATGACACTGTTTGGCCAGCAACATACCTCGGCAACCTTTGGCGGAACTCCAGCATGCACTCGAATTGTTGGTGAGAATGCGACAGATGTTCATGGCATTGTTTGGCCAACAACATACCTGTGCCTGTAACTCAAGCATGCACAGCAGAGCTCAATATTGTTGGTGAGAATGAGACAAATCTTCATGGAATTATTTGGCCAGCGACATACCTCAGCAACATACCTCCGCATGTAACTCCAGCATTCACCTCAGAGTTGAATACTGTGGAAGAAGAGCGAAATGTTCATGGAACTGTTTTGCCTGCAACATACCTTAGCAACATACCTATGCCTGCAACTCCAGGATTCACCGCAGGGCTCAATTCATCTAAGGGCTATTCGTGGATCATGTCTATGCCTTTTGCAGGATGGCTGGACAATTGGCATGGGCATCACACATCTCTTCTGAGACAAACCCTGCCCTGGCTTTCTCTGCAAATGCCTGCTCTCAACAAAAGCTAGTAATGATATGGGCATAAGACTTGAATTCGTGAATTCGGCATCTCCGCCACAACCAGTTTTGTATATGTCTCCTGGCGCCGTTGACTGATTGACTTGCCCCCCGTCTTTGAAACGCGCCCACCCCAACAACTGATGCTCTTGCAACGGGGCCGTGTTTGGCAAGAGGTATCTTCAACATGGTCCCACTAAACTACCCTCAACTCACAACTGGTCTGACGCGTCATGCAAGACACGTCACGTCTTCCAATCCAAACCCTGCCTGCATGTTAAAGGGCGGTTGCTGCGCCGCCGGCCCCCGGGCCTGCGGCCCCGGGCCCGCGAGCCCATGAGGCGGCCCATGGGGCCCATGGGGCCCCACGGGCCCGGGCACGGTCGCCTAAGCGCGAAGTCGCAAAATGTATGCCATTCCAACCGGACGCGTCCCACATCCAGCCTGCATGTAGGGAGACTGGCACCGCCGCGCCTGGAGCTTTCGGTGACGCGCTCAACTACTTTTGCCTTGCGTGATTTGCCTTCAGCAGCTCCCACGTGCTGGCTGGTTTTGGAAACGATAATGCAAACACTTGCATAGTGGTTTTGGGGAAAAGGTCCCCCCTAGCAATGAAAATTGTGGCAGCAGAAGTAGTCCAAAGTCACCAATACACAATTTAGAATATGCAATTCTAAACCAAGTCTAAACTAGCAATTTCCCCCTCCAATCCCAACTCCAGTCGCATTCGTGGGAACCACAA